TATGTCATGCTAATTAGTGTTAAACAGTTAAATGTGATCATATATGAATAAAGAATCAATTCTGAAACACTGCAGTGACTATCAAAGAATTATTGTATAATATACACATTCTTGCAGACATTAATATAATATAATATATAATATAATAATATTAATATAATAATAATTCCTTATTCACGAAACAAAAATAAAATGAGCTAAAACAACAGCAAAAACAAAAATATAAACATAGTAAGTTGTATTCAAAATCAGTTCTGATCATTCTAGGCCAAGGTGGCTTTGGCAAAGAAGTGCTAGGACAGTCCATGCTACAAAGAGGTCACTGTCAGGTGTAAACAATAAGCATAAAGACAAGTTTAGGAGTCATATTAGATTATAAGCAGTGAGCACACCCTTTAGAGAAGGGATGGAGGAGAAATGACATTAAGGGCACTACCAGGTGCAGGGTTGAGCCCAATTAATAGTCTTAAAGCAATTTGTTTTCTTACAATTCTGTTTGCTGACTCATGGTGACTGCATATCTATATGGTACATAATATGTATTATTTTAGTCACTAAATAAAGCAAGGTGTCCATTTTAACTGGATCTGTTTAAGAATTGTTCCACAAAATATGCTGATTTTTGATAAGATATAGTATTAATAGTTTATCAGAACATAGAAAAATATATTCAAGTCCACTAAGCAGATCATTCCTAAAAATTAAAACATATGATGGAAAAGTAAAAATTTTCAAACAATCTTTTACTTTACAACATTATTGGTATCTACCAGTTACTTAACTATCATAATATAATAGAGGCAAGAACCAAATATTTGATAATTTTAAATGAAGACGGAAAAGTATTTGAATTTATTATACTTCTATATCTTTTTAAATTTTACCTATAATACTACAGTAAAACCGTCAACACAGTGGAAACATTGGACAGTTTTAAGAAAATATGATATTTCAAATCATTAGGATTAAACTAGAGTAACATTCTAAGCACTACAAATACAAGATTGTGGAAAATTTTTATGGTAAAAATGTTTTTAATAAAGTGTTTCACACATAAAATTTGACACATATATATGTAAACTTTTACCCACCATCCCATTAAACAGCTGACCATATCCTTGAGTTTTCATCATGCTTCTCTCTATTATTATTCTCATTCCTCCCAATGTTAAACATCCTATTGAATTGTTTTCTTTTTATTATACATGTATTATATTTAAGCTTTTCATAATTTTAAACTTTGTATAATTATTTTATACTATATGGATTCTTCGACACTCACTTCAACACTCGCAAAACTCACTTTTCCTCTCTCAAAGTTTTGGAGATCTTTTTCATTCATTTATTCATTCATTGACTTCCACTGCTATATTTTATATTTTATTTCATGAATATAATAACTTGCATGGTTTTTTTTTTTTTAACTATTCCTTCATTGATAATAATTTCTTCTAGGCTTTTTCCTATTAAAAACTACACTTCTCTGAAAAGCCTTATAAATACCTCATGATATATATCTACAATAATTTTCAGGAATGAAATTGCTGGCTTAAAGAATATGAAAATATTCAAATTTACAAGATAAAATCAAACTGTTTTTAAAAAATAATACCAGTTTATTTTCCACCAGTTTTGTATAAAGGTTATATATTTTTTTAAATTCTTGTGTAAACTTGATATGGTATTTTCTTTTAAATCTTTGTGTATCAAAGGGATGAAAAATGACATCTAATTTGAGTAATGTTTTCCCTTATTAACACACATATCATGGCATATATTGGTAAAATGCATGTGAGCATTTTTCACCATTGAATTGTAACATTCTCCTTTCTTTATTGATTTGGAGTTTATTGCATTCTGAATAAATATTTTCAGACATATATAAATATATATACTATTTTCAATGGGTATGTGGCCTTTCTTTTTTATATTATAACCTTTCATAACCCTTTGATAAACAAAAGTTTTAAATTTCACTGTAGTGGAATTTATTGATCTTTTCCTTCAGATAAAGGGAAAGATCATGTACCCAGTTGCATACAAATGTTTTTCTATCTTCTCTGATAAAAGGTTTATTTTCTTGCAACCATTGTCCACTTAAAAAAGAAACAATGACATGCCAACTTTTTCAAAGCAATATCTGTTATGTTTGTGGGGAGAACACATAGGAATGGACAATGTATAGATTAAATGACAGTAGGAGAGAGAATCACAGACATGGACCATTTGTTAATGTTTAGAGGAACATATCCTATGGCTTTAAGAGAATAAATAAAACTTAATCAAGGATACATTTTGGTAAATAACTTGTTCATCCTTGTTTTATGAGGTTGGGCTATGATGTAGTAAAATCTATCAAATGAATAATAGCAGAGGAAAGAATTGATTTTTGGTAAGTTCACAGTCTTGAGAGTTATTTATTTTAGCCATCCCTTTTCTTTTTTTCCAGTGGAAAAAGAATTTATTTTTTAAAATTACATGAAACATTGACTTTTTTGCAACTGAAAATACCCTTTAAGAAACACTTTACTATTTTACAGGTGTTTCTCATGTTTTAGAGTGAGAACATTTTTGATAAACTAGGTGCCTTAAGATTCTATAAATTGAACATTTTCACTTTGAGTTAAAATTGGATATGTTATTCTGAAAAATGTTATGCTAAGATAATATATACAATAATTTTTTATGACACATTCATAACCATGGTTTAAGAACAAGTAAAGATATTTTAATTTGTGTTAAGATTATATACAAAATAAAAATATAAGACAATGATTCATATGAAAACTTCTGTAGTATAGAGTTAGATTTTCTTTATGAGAGGCTGTGGTTGAAGGAATCTCTTCTTTCTCCTAGCTACATGCTATTTTATTTGCATCCTTGCCATCATACTCACAAGACTTCAGTGAGCAGAGTCCACAAGCATTTCAGGAGTGATTCTGAAGTATCTAGAGATAAATTCAAGGTAGCTAATTACTTTGGAAGTCATTTTTGGTGATGGTTACTTTGAGGCATATGCTTTTAGTCAATAAACCCTCCATATACTGGCAGATACTGTCTGGTTTGTGATCCAGTCCTAGAAAAGAAAATGACTGAAAGTATAAGGTATCCAGGAGAGAAGGGCTTAACTGGAAACTGGGGAATCAGGATGAACTGGGAGACAGGACAACTGAGCAAGCTGTGAAATATGAAATCAAGGTAGAGAAGTGAGGCCTCTGAATGTCCATTCCTAAACTGGCAGGCTGTCTGAGCACTCAAATTCTTGGTTCATCCTTGTCCACGTGGAATGCTCACTCCAGCTTGAATAAGAAAACATGCTTTCGGACCTTTGCCTGCTTCTTCCTGGCAGTGTGTTTGTTATCAGTGTACTTAAATCTTCTAGTGCTTTAGTATTCTTATCTGTCCACTAGAGATTGGAATGCTTACCCAGGGCTGCAATGATTGTTAAAGGAGATGATATAAGAAAAGCATTTCAGATAATCTATTTTGCATAATTAAGATTACTATTAAAAAGTAAGAATGGGGAAGAGGGAAATTGACAAATGTACTGAGCATATACTTTGATGGAGAAATCTCCGCTTTGCTAGAAAACACAACAAAGCCCAGGACAACATGCTTCCTTAATTGCCTCTAGTATGACAGAGGGAGGCTTTTTTCTCACTTGTGAAATAAAAGCCATTCCCTTCACCATTTTTGTCTTCCTTATTCACTTGTCTCTGACTTTAGCCCTACCCTACAAACAATAATATTTCCCCAGGTAGCCCATGCCTCCTGGCTAAAGCCTGGGTTCTTAAAGTTCTTAATCTTTTGTTTGTTTGTTTGTTTTTTGAGTCAGTGTCTCACTCTGTTGCCCAGGCTAGAGTGCCCTGGCATCAGCCTAGCTCACAGCAACCTCAAACTCCTGGGCTAAAGCAATCCTTCTGCCTCAGCCTCCTGAGTAGCTGGGACTACAGGCATGCTCCACCATGCCCGGCTAATTTTTTTCTATATATTTTTAGTTGGCCAACTAATTTACTTCTATTTTTAGTAGAAATGGGGTCTCGCTCTTGCTCAAACTAGTTTCAAACTCCTAACCTTGAATGATCCACCTGACTTGGCCTCCCAGAATGCTAGGATTACAGGCGTGACCCACCGCGACTGGCCTAAAGCAATCTTTTTGAATAAGAAATACTCTGGGGGTTAGGATGGAATCAGTCTCATAGGGTACTTGGGAAAGGGTACAAAAATTAAAGTTTTGTAGAAAGTAGCAAAAAGGAAGTGAAAGCAAGCCAGCTTATAGACCAGCCCACTATACTATATTTGGTGTGTTTGGAAAAGCGATTTTTTTTATTTCCCCAAGTCATTCAGGTGGTTCTGACATTATATTGTAACTAACTGTTCTATTTTATATGGTGTGTTTATTGCAAATCTTTTTTATAAAAGGAGTAATTCAGAAAAAAATAAACAAATATGAGTTAGTATAAATAAAATGCAGAGGAAGTAAATCTTTCAATTCAATTTAAATTTTCTATTTCTCTTACTTTTTTGCTACTTAGAAATATAATCCTATTACTACTAAACAAAGTTATATACCTTTTATTAGCTGAAGTTGGTGTACGTTTTATTTTCAAGTGGTAAATATGTGTTGGTGTAGATATATGTCTTTTTCCTCCTTCATACTGGAAAATAAACAATTGAGTGGTTAAAACACTAAACTCATTATAATCTTTTGCAGACAGATCTCTCAATAGCAAAATTTGTAATAATCAGTTCTATATTTTTCATGCAGTTTTATATTTAAAATGTAAAAAAATAACATTTCATATTTTAGTATTTGTATAGCTTTATCATTATCTTAAAATATATCTAATGCTATTAATATAAATCTTGTTTCTAAATAATTAAGAATTTTTTGATCATCCCTTTCAAAATGATTACTTTTACTTAGTGATTGTGATTTATGGACACAGAAATTTAAATATGGAAGATTAGATACAGTAACCAAGCTGCTGGAATCTATACATACCCTCTTTGCTTTTGTTTTATACAATCCTTTGATTCTCACTGTGGTTGCTGAAGAAACAATTGATAATTTTAAGTCAGATTACCCTGTATAAAAGAAGCTGCTAAGAGAATAGATTATTTTCTTAAAGACCCTAAGAAAGCTACTGGTTTCTTTGCACAATTCTTGCAGTTTTCAAAAATGTGGTTTTATAGATTTAAAAAATTGATTTTGGAAAGGACTACCTATATACGTGTGTATATATGTATATGTGTGTGTGTTTACGTATGTATGCACATGTGTTATATGCATATAACATCATTTTGAGATAACATTACTCCTCATTTTAATTTTATATTTAAAAAAACAAGGAAGGCTGTGTAATGTGTGGGATACACAATCTCTGATCATGGGGAACAACATTTGCTAGAATGATTGATGTTTTAGCTAGTCTGGGTTTACCATAGCGAGGAAATTCTGGCCAATTAAGGAGGAAAGAGAGAACCATCAATCAAATCAAAATTGACAACCACCCCACCTCCACTATTAAAAAACACAGTTAGAAAAATCATTTTGTCCCATATGGTCCCTTTTTGAAAGGCGTGAAACACTATGACTTTTTTTTCCCTGTCTATCCTATGATTTCTAATGTTAGAAATGATTTTACAGTAAGTTGCCTTCTAAAAAACAAGATCTATTTTAATGAAAGCACGTAACCTAGACCCACTAGAAAAACTGAACAAAGGGAAGTTCTGATATCCTCCCTTTTGTGATCCGAGAGTGTTAGATTTCCCAGGATACTGGGGTATCTTCTTAGATGGTATTTAAAGCCAAAGTCTGCACATTGATTCTGTAGGGACCAGGGGAAACCTTCTTCATCTTCTGAAGTTTTGCTAAAAAGTCTACTTACAAAATGCATATTAATTGGAGAAAAATCATGCAAATTTTATTAACGTGGACATGGTAGCCTCTAGAATGAAGATTCAAAGATACAGGGGAAATTGTCTACTTTTATGCTTAGATTTAACAAAGCATTGATATGAACAGCCATGTAGAAATAGGATTGAACAAAAAGGGAAAGGCCTCTCTTGTCTAAATTCTGCTTGGCCTCTCTGAATATACATCCCTTTCTTCTGAGTATGGGGCAGAACCCTCTCTTGAATAGGGATCTTGTGACCTACAGTCAAACAAGGTAGGTCAGATAATTTCTTTATGGTCAGTTTTTTACAAAGAAAGGTGGAGGGAAAGTTAGAGTAGTATTTTTAGGTTTTATGCCTGACTTTAGGAAAGAGGGGTTCTGGTTTCTATGACCAACCTTAGGGAAGTGGGATTTTAGTTTCTATAACTAGCCTTGGGAGAAAATGGGACTGAGAGACAAAAAGCCTGGGAAACCAAAAATAACAAAAAACAAAACAAAACAAAACAAAAAACCCAAATCAAGCAAACTAAAAAACAAAACAAAAAAATCTGCTTCTGAGGCTGCTTCTGAGGCTTTCATTTTGGGATATTGTTTTCTGATTCCCAACAAATTTTTGTTTAAAAGTAAGTTTTATAATGCCTTATAGGCATAATGTATTAGGTAGGTACATTTCTAAGGTGCTATATGGAATCAATTGATCATTCAAAAATAATTCTAGAATGTCACTTATATTTTTGCTTATTTCACACTTACAATTTTGCCAAGTGAAATACTATTTAATCAAAAGAGAGTGTCAGGGGATACTAGTGAATGTAATTGTACCAATAATATGATGTCATAAATAGTATAACAAGCAGTATGTAAAATTCCAGGCCACATCAGATAATTAAATAATGGCCGTCACATTTAAAGAAGGTGAACATTTGCAGAAAGTATAAGGAAAACTTAAAACCTTGGAGTTACAAGACATCTAGGAAGTGATGAGCATAGCTCTTGATAATGAGCTAGTTTATTCTTTTTAAAAATATGTATTCTGTACATTACATTTCTATTTATAGTCTGCTCAATATTTTATACTATACATTTTATATTCAGACCCAAGTCCCAATCAGATCAGAATATAGCATCTGTGCCCCACAAGTCCTTCTTTTGCCACGTTCTTTACAGCCACTAAAGGTATTTTCTATATTTTCTGATTCTCCTTACCTTTTCCTGTAAAATATTTTTCTTTTGTCTATTTATGGTTTTATGAATTATAAAAATGCTAGATCCCATATAATGTGTGTGCAATCAAATGGAAAAACAAAGGATTGCCTTCAGAATTTCAAGGCCAAATGCAGCACTGGCTATTCATTTGATATTTGCAAAGTACTTTGACAATAAATGCATATCATGTTATTTCTACTCTTCCTATTTAATGATTTTTCTGAAGAGAATTGTTGATAAAAGGGCAAGTAAATGTTAAAAATGTATGCATATTTTATAAATTCTTGTAAAAAATGAATCAGTATCCTAATTCCATGAAGCCAAAATTGGCGCAGTAAATCAAACCTGTGAATATACCTATAACAAGGAATAAAATGATCATGTGAATAATTCTTACAATGAAAAACAAATTATAATGTTTGGGATTATACATTTGTTTAGAATATTTAATAAATATCCAATGCAAGACATCATGCTAGACTCTGAGAATTAAAAAAAAAGTAGATTAAAATATAGTTTTGTGTTTTTCAATTCTCTTGAAGGAGAAATCAACTCTCCCTCAGTGGGGTTCACTTCCATTTAAAAAAGACATAACCTTTAAAACCATTGGTTAGGTCTTTGTTAATGTCTTTAACTTCATCAATTGTACTTCATCTATGAATCTTTCTGGTTGTTTGCTTTCTTCTTTCTAGGGCATTAAAGGAGAAAATCACACATTTCAGTATTCACTGATGTCACTATACATCCGTATCTCAGCCTGACCAAAACTTTCTAAGAACTGTGTCACAGTCTAAGACTCTTTCTACCCACTTCTCCTTCCTCATCTCTCTAGGTCTCAGAGATAACACCTGTATCCAATGTCTACTCTTGCTCTCTCCCTTTTATGCTTCACAGACATTTTCTCTAAAATCTCTTACAAGTTTAATCCTGTTTTGATGTCTGCTTCTTGAAGAACACAAACTAACCCAATCATCACTCTGAAAAATGAACAAATATAAAGTTTATTCAAGTCCATAGGCAACAAATAATCTCTGTGGTGCTGCCACACCTCTCTTATGTATAAAATCATTATCAAGTCTCAAGAAACTTAAAAATAATTACTAGAAACTCTCTTCTTGAGATCTGTGAACTACTAGACATGATAGTCTCCTCAATTTATAGCCAAGTTGTAAAGATTAAGTTTTACTTAAGTTCAGTGTCACTATCACATATTTAGGGCAGCTACCTAGTTGCGTTCATGTGATGTTAGAAAGAAGGATATTCCAGAAAGCTATCCATATATCCACCCATGAACAACCTGTTCTAGTTTAAATGTCTAGTAAACAAGACTGGGAGATGTAAGGGCTGTACTTCACTAACACTTGTTGATTACCTCCACTAAAGTACTGATACTCATCTGAGTTTGTCAGTCATTTATTTCACCTTCCCAATAAATTGGGGATGTCTAGAAGACATGTTATATCTTTTGTGTCTATAATTATAGATCCTAGCACAATTATAAGAGTTCAATTAATGTTAGCTGGGGAAAAAAAAAGACTAAAGTAGAAAGAAAAAAAAGAAAAGAAAGAAACAGAGTTTTAAGTTTTGTTGTAAAAAGAATACATAAAAAATTTTAAAGGTAAAAGACAACTAGTTCCAAAGAACATATAATAAAGACAAAGAAGATTTTTAAGTTGAAGAGGTTGTGGATGTTCAGAGGTAACTAAAAAAAAAAAAATTCTAGTGGAAATGGTACTTAACTCAAATGTTGTAGGATTAAGAGATCTGTATAAATGATGAAGCAAGTTAGAAGGCTTTTCCAGCAAAGTAGAGACCAGATCCTTGTATATTAAACACTTAAACAAATGGTCAAGACTTAACACAAGACAGAAATTACAAATAAGAATTATATTGTACCATATACTATAAATAATTGTTTGAATAAGAGCATTAAAGTTCTCTTGGTCAAAGTGCCAACCAAGCAAACAGTACAAGCAAGGAGCATAACCATCTCATATCCCCAAATACAGATCAGTTATTTATCTGTTTGTTTTTTTACTTTGTCTGAGAATGTGATTTGCTTAGACATTTTAGAAATCACACATGCAGGGGGAAAAGAGATGGTAATCTCTCCCTAACCATTAGCTGAATCAATACTGATGATCAAAAGGCTGAAGAGGTTGTGGTCAGATCACTCTCAAATAGAACTCTACAATGTTTGAAAGAATTCCCTTTGCAAAGAATTCGAGAAAAGAAATGCCAGTTTCTGTTTGTACACCTGTAAACAACAGGAAGGCTATTACAAGATGCCTGTCATATTTTGGAAGAGTGTTTGCATCGGGCAAGGAAAAAATTGTGGAAAGAAAGGCCTTGGTAAAACAGAAATGATATTTATGCAAAACAACTTAACACAGATAAAATCATAAAGATTCCAGGAGTATGGAACTGAATTTCTAAATATTTGGTACGGTTGAGGGGAGTGTGCTAGGTAAGCAGGCCTGGCTAGATTCTGTCCTGATTTATCGAAGAGTGATCTTGTATGAAGCTAAATTTCCATATGCAAAGTATGAGAATAGAGATTACAGAAATCTTTTTTACTCATACAGATGTTCCTCTACCTGTTATAACTAAAATAGCTTTCCTCATATATATGGATTGGAAGCTCTTCTATCAATGTTGCCACATAATTATATAAAACAAGTTATGGAAATTAACAGATAGTTATAATTATTATCAATTTTCAATTCATATTCAGAGAAAAATTACCAATATCTTAGTTTGTCCTCTGGAGTCTACAAAATAAATTTAATGTGTCTTCTACATGACAGCCTTTAAATATTTCAGTAGAGTTACCGTATGAACTTCTTTACACAGAACACACATTCTAATTCTAATAACACTTCCATTGAGAATCTCTCATTTATAATTAGATCTTTAAAGTAGACTCCCAAAGTTAAAATCATTTTC